ATGAGATTTTCGATATTAATGGGTTAGTATGGGAAGGTAGTTTGAAGTAGAAGGATCTGTAATATTTGGTGGCTAGTTGGTCAACTGACTCAATTTTTAGGTCAGAGTGTAGAGAAGAGTTGGAAACAAACCAAGGAGCAGACGTTATTATACGGAGGGTAATGGACTGGAATGCTTGTATTGTGCGACGGCTTAGCACAGCCCCAAATTTGGATTGCATATGCCCATATTGGACGCAAGAGAGATTTGTACATTATAAGTTTGGTGTGCACTGGTAGTTTTGACTTTAAGATCGGACGAAGTAGGTGAAGGCGGCTGTTGAGTGTTTTTCTTTTTTGTTTAAGGTGTGGGCCCCAGGTTAATCTTTTATCAATGATAATTCCAAGATATTTGACATTTGAAGATGATGGTATTTGAGTACCTTGAAAGTGAACAGGTGGGGGTTCTGTTCTTTTTAGAGTAAATGGTACATAAACAGATTTGTCAGGATTTATTTTTATTCTCCACTTAGTTGCCCAGTTGTCAATGGAATCAAGGTGTGTTTGTAAACAGTTGGATGTTTCGTCGGGGTCATTATTAGCACAAAGTATTGCGGTGTCGTCTGTGTAAGTGGCCAAGGTGGTGTTTGTTGTAACTGGTATGTCTGCTGTATAAATATTGAATAGGTCAGGAGAGAGGTCGCTGCCTTGGGGGACACCGGCTTTAATGGAAAAGTGTGGAGAGTATGAGCTACCATATCGGATTTTGTATGAGCGGTTTTCGAGATATGAGCGAATAATTAGATAATATGGCGCAGGTAGAAAAAGTTTGAATTTGTATAGTAGGCCATCGTGCCAGACATGGTCGAAAGCCTGCGCAACATCCAGGAAAACACCAGGACAGAATTGCTTCATTTCGAAGGATGATGATATTTTGTCTGTCAACCTATGAATTTGGTGGACAGTGGAATGTTTTGCTCTAAAGCCGAATTGGGAGTTTGGGATAATTTTATGAGTTTGCATAATAGGTCTGATTCTTTTGAGTATTATTTTTTCGAATAGTTTTGCTAGAGTTGGAAGCAAGCTTATCGGCCTGTAGGAGGAGGCTAGAGTCTTTGGTTTATTTGGTTTTGGTATAAGTATTACAGTTGACAACTTCCATATTAGCGGAAAATATGATAGTCTTAGCATGGCGTTAAAGATAAAAGTAATTAGTAGAATGGGTTTACGAGGAAGATTTTTCAGAACTTTATTAGTAATTAGGTCGTGACCAGGTGATTTCCCATCTTTTAATTTTTTAATTAAAAATACTATTTCGCTAGGCGAGGTATGTTTCGCAGGTAATGACATAGGAAGAGGGCTGTTGATAAATTTTTCGATGGTTTCAGAATGGTCAGAGTTCGGTACTATATCGGCGTGAGGTGTGAAAATTTTCGATAAGTGTTTACCGAATAGATTGGCTTTTTCGATATCGGAGATGGCCAGGGAGCCGTCTGAGTCTGTTATGGGAGGGAGTTGTTCCTTTATTCTAAGTAAATTTTTAGTTGTTTTCCAAAGGGAACCGTCTGTTTGGTTTAGTGATTGGTATTTATTTTCAAAATATTTGGATTTATGTTTTAATATTAGTTTTTTTATAGTGTTCGCTAAGTGGTTAAACAGTTTTTATCAGATGGGTAGTGATATTTTTGCCATCTAGAGCGCACCCGCCGTTTTTCGGAAATCAGATTTGTAATATTTGTAGGAAGAGGTTGATTGCTTGTATTTTGTTTACTTGATTGTGTTTTTGGGTGTGAGGATTTAAATATAGCAGATTGAATTGACGTTACAAGATTTTGAGCAGCGCTTTCTATATCATCCTTATTTTTAAGGGATATATTAAGGTAGGTTGTGTTTTGCATAGTTTCGGAAAATTCGTCCCATTTGATCGGGCCTTGAGATAATGATGGATGTGGAGGAGTTGGTTCTATTGATGCAATCGTAGTTAAAAGGATTGGAGTGTGATCCGAGCTTAGGTCATTTAGATTGTTAATAGAATGTTTTATGTATCTAGGTAGTGACGATAAAAAGAAGTCGAGTATATCAGGGTGTCTGTTATGATGTTGGGGCCAGTAAGTAGGGCCCTTTGGGCTTATGAATATGTAAGGTGTATTTTTGGTTATTTTTTGGAGCATTTTGCCTCTTTGGTTTTCTGAAATGCAACCCCATTGCGAGTGTTTAGCGTTAAAATCGCCACCCGCTAAGAATTGTTGACCAAGGGATTTTAAAAATTGATTTAGTTGTCTTGAGGATATCGCCGGGTGAGGAGGAAGGTATACTGAAGAGATTTTGGTAGGAACGTGGTTTAATGTTATCTGAATAGTTGTCGATTGGATGGTGGGAAGCTGAACGCTTGGAAGTAGTTGATGTTGAATTTTAGAAGATATTATAATAGCAGTCCCAGCGTGGGCTGTTTTATCAGGGTGATCGGTTCTGTAAATTTTAAAACCCGGGAAGAAGAGTTTGGTGTTTGGTTTGCAGTGGGTTTCTGTTATGAGAGCTATGTCTATTTGTTTTTCCAATAGTAAATGCAGTAATTCAGTTTCATGTTGTTTTAAGCCATTTGCATTCCATAGCAGTGATTTCAGAATATTTAAATTTGGTTTTTTAGTTGACATTGATTATAAGTTTATTTATTACAGTCGTAAGTAGCGATATGAGCGGATTTATTATTAATTTAAATTCAGAAATGAAAGATGAAAGTTGTGTAGCTAAGTTAGATTCGGATTGATTTTCCGTATCATTTGGGAGAGTATGTTTAGGTGTGTTAGGATGGTGAGACTGTGAGAACAGCTTTGGAAAAGATGAGGTGTCATTTATGTTGGGAGGGTTAAGGTTGGTTTTGGCACCGGAGTCCTCCCCCTTTTTTACAATAGAATTATATTTAACATCATTTCTTAAATTATATTTTTTATTTGGAGTATTTTTATCGTATTGGAAATTTTGGAGGTTTTTGTGGACTTGGCAGCCTCGGTAGTTGGCTGTGTGATTACCTCCACAGAGGGCGCAGGCTGGTGGTTCGTCTTTGGGTTTTGTGCAGGTGGAAGTAGAATGGTTGGCAGCACATTTGACGCATCTTGGATGATGGGCACAGTATGATTTGGAGTGACCGTAAGCCTGGCAGTTTGTACATTGTATAATGATACGTCTTTTGTATGGCTCTTCAATTTTTATTTTTGTATTTAATAAAGAGGTGATATTGAAAATTTCTTTGTTTATTTCCGCAGGTTCCAAGTCAATAAAGAAAATTGGCAGTTTATTTTTAGTGGTTTTATTTAAGACGTTGGATACATTACGGACTGTGAAAAGACCAATTTCATTTATTGCTATGCCTATTTCCGCTAATGGAGTTGATGGGTGGATGTTTCGAATCACTACTCGGAAAGGTTTTTCATCTTGAGCTTGATATGTGTGATATTCGGCCTTACTTTATTTTAGAAAGTGGATGGTTGCTCTGTATGAGTCGGCGTTGTTGGTTTGAATTTTTAAGTTGTTCACATTTGATTTAACAAAGAAACTGTCAGCACCGATTAATTCTGTTAATTGTGAACGAAGTGCAGGAAAATCCAAAAGTCCACTTATAAAGATGGGTGGAGGAGGTTTGACTTTTTGTTCGGCGTCGGTGTCCGAGTCGATGTCAATGAGAATTTGATCGGAATTTTCAGTTTCAACATTTTCATTGGCAAGTACGGCATATTTATTTGAAGATGCGAAAATAGGTTTATTTTTTTTTATTGTTTCCGTTTTATCATTTGAGTTAATAGAGAGATTTCGTTTAGATTTGTGCTGGACTGTTGTAAATTCTGTGTCAACATTTGATGAGTTTGAGTAAAAAACATTATTTGAATCGCTCTGTATACGATTTCTTTGAGAAGCGTTTAAATTGGTACCATTATTTATTTTTGAATTAGTAGTTGAATTGACTGTTGTATTGACTGTTGAATTGACCCCGTTCTTAATTGGTTTTTGTGAGTTGTGCATTGTACATTAGTACGTTATCGGAACGCGATAAGGGATAGGCGATAACGCGATAGGCCGGCCGCGGCCGCTAAGCGGATACGTGGACTTTCGTGGTATTTTAAAGCCAATTATATCTACCAGTTTTTTTTTTTTAAAAATCCGATTTTGTGTTATTTTGAGTTCCTTTTTGGAGGTTTGAGTGTGTTCAGTTTTGTTTTCCGCATCCGTAGATATCGGAAACGCCACGTTTGGTTGTTGTTATGAGTAGAAAATAAATAATAAAGTGTACGAGAAATATACATGCGTGTGCATCGAACGGCATACCATGCGAGACTGATAAGTAACCTAAAATCTTTATTTAATTTTGTATTGTAAAAATTATACATGCTAATTATAATAAAATAATTGTAGGATACATTAAAAGCAAAAAGTAATTTGTCAAATAAAAAAGTTGTAAGTATTTAAAAATTACAAAAAAAAGAAATATTATACTAAAATTAAAGCTATTAACAAATAAAAAAATAATGACGTTTTAAATGTTTTACAGAAAAAAATTCAATCGAAAAATCAAAAGTATAAGATTAAATTGGTAGGTTTTAATTTTTGAATAACTCATGTATTAAAAAGTATGCTTATTATAATATTTTTATAGGCAACATTTGAACAAAAATTAGTTGGCTTGGAATTGGTAAAAGGTCCAACTAATGTTGAAAATATTGATGATCCAAATGAATCGGTAGTCCCATTATTATTTAATACAAAAATGTGCTTTAAATTCTTATGAAATTAAAATTTTTTAAATTTTAGAAACGTTATGTTGAAAAATATTAGTTGCTGCCATTACAAACTAAAATTGATTTTTTAGAAAAGTTGGTGTGTGCAAAACTAGATAAAATTAGTTTGGAAGAAAAATCTGATTGTAGCGATATGTTTTGTCTCAGTACTTAGTTAAATAATGCATTTTTACAAATATGTTATTAATAATTTAACACAGTAAAAGAATATGTAACCTAAGGCTTCTGCCACACCATGCGTTTTGGCGGGTCCGGTTAAACTGGATGCGTTTTGACCGGATGGCTTTGACCATGTCACATCTATGCGTTTTTGTTCTTAAAAATGTTCCCGCCGCTGCATTCAAAGTTCCAAATGTCACCGCTAGTCTTCAAATTTGTAATCAACAATATTTTGCTATTGCATCACATTCAACGTCCCTACGCTCTTTGATGGTAAACCTATATTACTTACTTGTTTTATGCAGTGTTATTTTATTATATTACTCGTCAGTTATAACTATATAAATTATATAATAATTTAAGTGTGTCTAAATTATAATATTTTTGTGTACTTCTACTTGTGTAATTTACTTTTTGAACACGTCATAAGTAAGTAAGTAAGTTATATTACTTAATAGTTATTAGCACTTGCACTTTTACATATATTCAATATTAGTTATATAATACTTAATAATTTATTAATATATAATATCTAATATAATTAAATAGATTAAAAAAATGAATCGTAAAAAGATTAAAGTTGTTGCTGTAGCTGAAGCATTAGGCTTATTAGATCCACCGAAAGTACAAAGAAGGTATTGGGTACACCCACTAAATATGGATCGTGAGAAAATTGGCCAGTTTAGGACATTTTTTGAAAATATTAGACAATATCCTGACAAATTCTTTGAGTATTACCGTATGTCTATCTCCAGCTTTGATGAATTGCTAAAAACACTGCGGCCACATATAACAAAAAGTACAACAGAATTTCGTAATCCGATATCTGCTGAAGAACGTCTTACAATTACTATAAGGTAAGTTTTTTTTTTATAATACATACCTATAAGTTGAGTTTTTCAACGTGAGATTTATGATTATTTTAATAAGTAAACAATAATCATCCTTAGTTATCATGAATTAAAAATAATTATTTTAAAACATAACTTCTGTAGATAATAGGTTAACAGATAAACAGTCAATGAGAAAAAATGTAGTATTTAATTTTCATTTAAGATAAAATATAATTTTTAAAAATTAAATACATTAAAAACACAATATAATACTTACTGTATATTGTATAACAAACTTTGTTATTAAAATTTGTAAAAAAAAAATAATAAAAAATAATAATGTCATACCGTATAAAAATTAAAATATAACATACCTTTTTAAATATCATTAAGTACATTATAAACACAATATAATATATTTTACTGTATAACAAACTTTGTTATTTAAATATTTAAAAAAAATAAAAATAATAATAAAACTGTTTAAAAATAAAACAACACGCCTTTTAAATTGCAGTAAATATAATATTATTACCTACCTCTACTTATTTATAATATCAAAATTTCCGTACATTTCTCCACTGGTATTAGGTTGTTGAGATTGATCAGATGTATAATTATATGAGCTAGTATATGGCAAGGGTTGTGGGCGTTGTGGCATAAGATTATGATTTTGATTGTACCCCAAACCAGGGTTGAACTCTGAAGAATATACATTTGAATATTGAGTTTGGATCGGGGGAATTCGAGTAGTGTTTTGATTAATGTTATAAGATGGCGGAGTTGGTTGTAATTGATTAGATCCTAATGATATGTTCCTAAAATACTGTAAAGTCATGAGACGAAAATCTGTTTTTTGCTCATAGTTAAGACGTTTATAATCGGGTAATAAGGAAAATAAAAATGCCTTATCAGGATCAGATGTGACATCTTCCTCGGAAGTAGATAAATTTTTTAATAATTCTCTTTGAAATTGTGTTATTTTTTGTACCTTGCATTTATTTTGTTTTTTACTTTTTGGAGTAGAATATCTATCCGATTGAGCTGGTATAGTTTCATCATATATCTCTAGCTCGTGTGACGAATCTTCTCCGCTGATATTTTCTCCTTCTCCTTCTTCATGTACATTTTCATCAAAATTACCTGTCGTTCTATGAGTAAATAGAAAATAATTCGTTTAGTTCTCATTACATTTGAAACAATTCGTAGGCGCTTTGGCGGAACTAGGGAGGGGAAGTAGAGAGAGCTTAGCCTCCCCTGACAAAGATTTAGCACCCCCAGAAAATATACCTTGTTAACTTTAATATTTGTTACATTTTACAATTTTTTATTAAAATATTTTTACAAAATTAACATTTTGTCAAAACATTTTTTTTT